CAAGAACATGCATTTTTGTCGTTCTCGTGACAAACCCCTGCCCACATATTTAAAATCTCTCTTCTCCACCAAGTAAATAAATTGACTGTACCGATGGGGTTAATTAAATTTCACAGAATTGACCCGACCGGTCGATCAAAAAGAGGGAGAGCGAACTGAGCAACATCAACAGCACGTGCCACTTGATAGCTAGCTGCCAACAAGAAAGAAAGAAAGAAGTAAAACCGGCCAAGCAGGAGTTTTCCCTGTACGTGAATGTGACCCGTTCAATGCATGCATACATATGCATATTTTTTCCACTTTTGACCCGACCACATCAATCCTATCTAATCTCTTGAAGCACAAATGGATGACTCGGTTCCAGGTTCTGATGTTCAGAGCATCTTTAATAGATGGTTCATATGTAAAAATACTTAACTTTTGAACCGTCTGGGACAAAAAGCGCTGCTTCAACAGACGGTCCATATGAAAAAAAATTAGACCGCGGCCTCCTCGTGATGTAAAATACAACATCTCGCGATGCAAATATACAACACGAGACGCATCTGGTTCAAAACCAGCCGCCGCGCGCGAACGCCCAACCGCCACTTCATTTTCTTTCCCCGCCCGCGCCCGTCTGCCCGCCCGAAGAACAGCCGGCCAGAATCCGCCGCCGCGACCGCCCAAAACCTCGCCGTCGGCGCCGCCACCATCCCACATCCCCACCGCCGCCCTCCGTCGCCGTCGCCCCCGTCGCCTCCCCGCCGCCGCCCGAACGCCGCCGAATCGGGTGGCAGCCGGCGCAGGATTCGGCCCCTCCGGTGGTCCGGCTGCCGCGGTAGGCCTCCGCCGAGTCTTATAGGCTGCCGCCGACCTCCTCCCATCGGCCGTGAGCCTGTCCACGGCCGTTGCGCCGGTCGCACGACCGCCGCACCAAGCCCTCCGCCCGACTGCCGAACTAGTCTTCGCCGCCCGCCGAGCTCCTTTTGGCCGGCCTCCTACCTCATTTCTTATCACCGCCGCCGTCTGCAGCCGACCGCAGCAGTCAATCCAACCGGCGGCCATCTTCTTCCACCGCGCGCACAAGGTGTTCAACGGAATTCCCCAAGGCGTTTGGACTATGAATTTGGACCATCTATTGGAGTTGCTCTTTTGAACCATGAATTTGTACCATCTGTTGGAGTTGGCCTTTTTACGGAGCTCCAAAACGCACTTTTTGACGGTCCAAAATTTACATCTTCGATTTTGGACCGTCAAAATCTGGACCATCTATTGAGGATGCTCTTACTGCGTAACTCAAGTTGTTGGCCTATTTGATCGCTCTTCAGTCTGATACGACGCTAGGCACTTGATTGTTATTTTATGTTTGAAGGCACTTGATTTTTTATAGACATTAAATTCAGTCAGAGCAACAGGAGCGTGCGCGGGAAATTTTGTTCTCCTTCCACTTCCGACGTACAAATAAGTGGCGTTTGGTTGGGTTGTGGATTTTCCTGAAAACTGCTGCAAGAGATTGTTGTGGGAAAACAGTTGTCAACTGTCTGTTGTGAGAGAGCTGTAAAGCCTTCTGGCCAACTAGTCCATAAGCTGTAAAGATGAATGTTTGAAATCCCCCTAAGAGCTGAGAGGTTGGTAGCATAGTGTTCAATGAAAATAACATCATTAGAGCAACTCTAGCAGACCCCTTAAAACGCGTCAACCCGTAAAATAACCGCTCGTTTACGGTTTCGCTCGAAAAAAAGTGGCCAGACCAGAAACCGTATCGGGCCGCGGACTGAAAAAAATTTGCAACTTCGCCCCCAACCTTTAGATTCACAGGGCGGGAGGCCGACCCGAGCGCGACCCCTATCGCCTACGAGATTTGGCAGGAGGGACATTTCCACCCAGCTGTTCCCGCCTCCCCCGCCCTCCGCCCCCAACCACCTCCCTCCGCCCGCTACGGAGCACCCTCCCCGACCTCCCTCCACCGCCATGGTATATTCTTTCCTAAGGTTATCCATAGCCATAAGTATTTTTGTGGAATATCCGTGGGCATAAGTTTACTATGCACGAGGAGCCCGAGGGAAAGAAAGGAATGAAATGGTGTAAGGACACTATTGGCAATCTCTTGAACCTGGAACCACTATTCCATCAGCTGCTCACCCAAGTTCCTCCTAAAGAAAATCATGCTTAATTGGTGAAAAGTTAAGAAAATTAATTTGAGACAAAGATGAAACTTTTCTTTGAAACATCATCTTCCCACTGAAAGAATAATTTGTATTTAAAAAAACATTGACGAGATTATCACAGGCACCTCATAGTCGACGGGAACGCCTTATCCACAAAGATCATCGGAAAGCCTGAAACAAATCTAGAAAACTAGCAAGATGCCCGTGCATTGCACGGAACATCAAGATGCACTTTTTTACAAAACACATGGTGTGATTGGCCCATGCAGGAGTAATCCCATGTGTAAAAACTAATGATATCTCGAGATTTTTATCGGAAAAATGGTATCTCAAGAATTTCATCGAAAAAATGATATCTCGAGAAAGATGAGAGATAAGGTGAGGAGGAATGGGGCGTGGTGGTGACTGGTAGTCGGACTGGGCGGAGGCATGAGGATGGACGACGCCGACAACGGCCACCATGCCAAATTGTTCCAGAAACTTCCTTTTTTAATTGCTCAACAATGAGGTTGTGGGAGATAAGGCTGAACCAGGCAAGGCCTTATCTGTAAATGTGGAGAGAGGTGCGGGTATCTTTTATAAAATTGTCATAGTTTGCTTTCTATCCATCAGATATAGATCAGGCGGTCTATATTACAAGATGGCGGGCACATCATCATCACCAACTCAGTTTTTTTTAATAAAAGTAGAGATACGAGCCGAGCCAAGTTTAGGACTTGAACCGTGGTGGTCTGGTTCCGACACAAAGAACGTAATCGTATGAGCTATGCTCGCGAATAATATGCATTAGTGAGACACCAAAATATCATACGTAAGGTTTGATCCCTGGTGGGTTGGAGATACCACCATCTCCATAAGACTAGCCATAGTGGGAGTAACTTCAGTAGTAACATCGAGTCCAACTCAACAAATTTGCTTATGTGGCAATGAGTTAATGAGGAGAGAGGTAGTTGTAGTAACTTAGCTAGTTACTGTAACATCACATGTCCCAATGCAATATGAGTCTATAACCTAATAAATGAATCCTTGCATGTTACCACACTTAGGGCCTGTTTGGTTCCAATAAGTCACCTGACTTATAACTCAGGTGACTTAAAATCAGTGATTTATAAGTCACGCCTGTTTGGTTGTCATCTGACTTATAAGTCACATGAGCACACCTTCCCACCTTGTTTTTTAATGTAAAGGTGATGGGACCATGCAAAAGAAGGTGACTTATAAGTTTAAGTTGGGGTGAAGCAACTTATGACTTATAAGTTGAGGTGACTTATAAGTTGGGTCCGTTTGGCAAAATAAGTCATTTTTTACACTTTTCAACTTATAAGTTAGTGACTTATTTGGAACCAAACAAGGCCTTAAGTTATTACCCACTATGAAGGTAGTAATATAGTCTAGAGATACGTGTATGTTACTAGTGTATGTTAGGCTGGTCATAGTGGGAGTAACATAGGTAGTAACATAGATGCCACATAAGCAAAATTGGTGATGTGGCAAGTAGTTAATGAGGAGAGAGGCAAATAGAGTAACATAATATGTTACCATCACATAGCGGTTTCCAATGCATAATGAGTCTACAAAGTAATAAATAAAAGCAACTATGTTACCACACCTATGACACTACCCACTATGAAGGTAGTAACATAGACTAGTAACATATGTATGTTACTAGTCTAAGTTACTCTCCACTATGACCAGCCTTACTCTTCATTGTGGCTAGTCTACCCAATATTTTTTGAATGGAGGGAGTGCATGACAACCGGACAATTATTATGTTCTGAGCTCTAATTAATGCAAATGACACACGCCTTGTGTGTTCTTGAAAAAGGAAAACATAGAGAAAGCACACGCACACGCACACGACCGATGCAAAAAAGTAAATGAACCAGCTAGACGCATACATAGTACATGCCACATCTGGTACCTTCCTCCCGCTTTCATGGAGTGGAATTTCCAAAGCAGAGACGATCGAGTTAGGTAGTGAGCTTGGATTTTGTGGTATCGTTTACTCTTGACTACTGGCAGCCTCTCGAGTCTTGATCGCCAGCTGCAGCCTGCCGATAAACATATGCATTTTGTTTTTCTCGTGACTCGCTCATCCAGTCATATCCATATGATTCTCTTTTACCGCGTGAAAACCAATCGTGTCCAGGGGTTGATTATAGTTGACGGGCTAAAGGAGGAACATAAGCAACAGCACGTGCTAGATACCCCGCTGCCAATCGTCAAAAAGACACAAGTAAGAGCAACTCCAATGGGGCCATCCATTTCGTCCGCGGCCGTTCGTTTGGGTTGGTGCGGACAAAAAAGCCGGCCCAACACGCCGACCCAAATGGACGCGTGTCCGCTTTCGTCCGCCTGCCAACCCATTCTTGGTCCATTTTTTAGCCTGATTTGCGTTGGCGCAGACACAAGACGGACACGCGAGCTCGCCGGCTTTCTTCACCGGGCCCACTGGTCGGTGGCACATTGGATTCACACACTCGCCCGCTTTCTTCACCGGGCCCGCTGGTCGGTGGCACATTGGATTCACACACTCGCCCGCTTTCTTCACCGGGCCCGCTGGTCGGTGGCACATTGGATTCACACACTCGCCCGCCTGCTACGTCGCCGACGCCCCCGGCCATTTTTTTCAGATTAAAATGGATACATACATAGTTCTAGCGTACACAGATAAAAGAAAGAGAACAACTACTCGTCGCTTTTTGACTCCGACTCGGTAATGTCCTTCTTCAACGTTTGAAGGTAGGCGTCAGCAAGCTGCTTGTCTTCAAAGTCCCAACCCGACGTTTTTTGTAGCTTCAGTTTCAATTGAGCTGCCTGCTTTCGCGAACGCTTGTCCTCCCGATAGGCGGCTCACTCCCTCCTCCTCGCGTCCCTCTCCGATCTTAATTGCTTGTAGAACTGGTGCTCGTCGATGATGTCCTGCAGGTAGCCTCCGCGCCACAGCACCAAGGCTTCCACGTCCTTCTCTGCGATGGCGAGGCGACGCTGCCGCCTTCGGTGGACACGACGATCCTCGTCGGTGAAAAGCCGCGGGAGAGGCGCCAGATCCTGCGCCCGCTGGCTCGACACATTGGGAAAATTCATATCCCGACGAGGCCTCAGGAGGCGCCACGCTGCCGCGTCGTGCGCGCGGGCCGCCTCCTCTGCGGTGTCGAAGGTGCCGAGGACGAGACGTTTTTCGTGAAACCAGATCTCGGCGAAGAAGGCGCCGGAGCGGCGCTCGCGGACTCCGCGAAAATCCGAAGCGCGCAGGCGGCGGATCGATATGGTGGCGCAGAGACAGCGAGAGTGGGCGGCCGACAGAATGTGGAGGGAGCGCCTTTTTTATAGCGAGCACCGGCCACGGCGCGCACGCGAACCTTTCCCGCGCGCTGGAGCGCCAAAACCAGCGCGCGCTAGGCCGCTTTCCCCTGCGCGCGCTGGAGCGCCAAAATCAAGGTGACGGCACGATGTTAAACGCGCACGGTCATGAAAATGGATTGACCCGTTGGACGCACTATCGACTCAAAACTAAAAGAGGACGGACGACGGATGGGCGGCCGACCCAAACGGACAAAAAGCGAACAAAAATGCTGTCCGTTTGGGTCGGCCCCGTTGGTGTTGCTCTAAAACCGGCCAGCCAAGGAGGAGTTGTTCCAAGTGACTACTGTTCAGTGCATGAATATATACCTTTTCCACTTTTGACCCGACCGATCGACCTATCCAACCCAATTCACTCCAATCTCCTCAAGCAATTTCATTCGAAGCTGTCACTTGAGTTGTTAGCCAGTTCGATAGTTCTTCTGATTTATACGACGCTAATTAAGCACTCCTATTCTGCCCCTAGAAAACAGAGCACTTTGATTCTGGAGATACATTAGTTCGGTCAGAGCAACACGAGAACTACTAGCGCATACGGACAGTCAATACACTTACACACATGCACATATATGCATAAACAGTTACAACCTGCTGCTGCTGCAGGTCAGAGGTCTCCAAAAAGAAGATCAACTCATGTGACAGACCTACTACTTTTTAATCCCCACGAGCGCCCGCCCAACTGCCCAAGCCTCATTGTCAAACGAAGACCCGTTTGTCAGACGATATGAACACCATCAACACTCAGTTTCTTGCTGACTTCAGTTTAGAGATTCTATTCCTGATTATATGACTATATATAACAATGCTACCAGTCCTAATATTATGCAAGCAACTTAGGCCCTGTTCGGCAGACGTCCATTCCCCGCTTTCCAACTCCCAGCTCTATCCAGAAACGAAGCGCACGGAGCGGCACTTTTCCAACTCCAAAAAAATGGCCTACAAGCCACTCCGCTCCGCTGTGGGAGAGGCACGAAGCCAACGCGTTTGGCGCACTCCGCAGCTACTCCAGCCGCTCCAGGAGCTGAGCTGCGGAGCGGACGCTTGCCGAACAGGCACTTACAGAAAACTCAAACGAAATGGCCAGACCATAGCACGTTTCCCTACTTCTTATTCTCCACGAGCGCCCGAGCATCTTTGCCAAGCAAGACCTGGCTAGCTAGCGTCTTGTCAATTAAAGACCCGTTCGTCACAAGATACGAATTCAAGACCTGAGCATTTTTCCTTCTTGCTGACTTTATTCTGGAGATTCCCGATTATGACCATAATAATAATATTATGCAGACAGCTCAGACAGAAAATTCAAGCAAAATGGCCAGATTCTAGCAGTTCTATGTGTGTTATTGTCGATATACAACGGGGTCGATCGGATTCAACATGCAACAAGGAGCTTCAGACAAGTTTCACCTTACCCCTGTTGTTTCGGCTTGGGAGAAGACCACAGGGAGCTAGCTAGAGCCTGGAGCATATATTGGCGAGACTGAAGAGAACTCTCCTAGAATACGTACAACGCGGCCTTGTTTAAGATTGTTTGTGCCACGACAGAGGTTGGAATTACACACAGGGCGCAACCATTCTAGAGCACCTCCCTCCTCCCTTATGCACCATTCCATATTGCAACACAACAACGATGCGGTCGGTCGAACCTCGTTATGGATAGTACACACTGGGACCATTGTCTTACTTGTCGTGCAATTGCTTCTGCAGGAAGTCAAGAACCGAGCGCCGCTGTAAAAAGTAGAGACGGAAAGTTAGGCCGGAACAACATGTGTCAGGAATCAAAGATGAAGGGGTAAAATTAGTAGCTACCCGTTGTTCTAGGCTAGCTTGCTCAGAATCTAGCTTCAACTTCTCAAGGCACTTGATTGCTTCCTCAAAACCCTCGACAGCCGCATCTTCGTTACCGAGGTTTCTATCAACATCCGCGACTTTGGCTAGAGAGGTTGCTAGATCAATGACCTACAACGAACAACCGTCAGATTGTCAGGTAATAGCAGCTAAAGCAAACAGCACCATGCAGCATAGTCCATAATTCAATGTAACAATTTGTAACTTCCAAGCGGAAAAAGTAAAAGTCTGGGTGAATAAATAAGGGTATTCGGTAAAAGTACTGAATTAAAGTACTTTAATTCCGTAAAAGTACTGAATCGAAGTACTCCTACTTGTTCAGACCATGTTATTTTTAAAAGAGCATTCTCAATCAATCACGGAGATTCATTCCGTAAAAGTACTGAATCAAACAAACAAGGTAATTTCTAAATGACATTTTGCACACTTCAGTTTGTCCACTAAAAAATAAGACACCTTAGGATCCTAGTGTATGAAGTAGGTACCAAGGACAAACTTGACCAACACTTGTATTGAAGCATATTCTTCATCCATTTAGAATAAAGAAGATTGGTTATTCAAGAATAACGCCTTAGGAAATTAAACATGTTCACCACTATGCAATCAAAACAGGAGCTTGCATAAGAAGCATATAAAGTTTTATTTTGCCAACTTCCTGAGCCTATTAGTCTTATTTCTTTCCTTTCCCTTCACATCCATTATCACATATTTTCATACTATAAATGAACCCTGTATCTTTGTGCGTGGAACGCGAAGAATCACAAAAAAGACTTCAGATAACAGGTGGCAGTTTTCAAGTTATTATGCCTTCGCAAAAAACAAAAAGAATTTTTTTGCTATTATGGTAAACAACACAACCAAAGTTACATCACTTAATTTCCTATAGCTCGACTATGTCCCTTCACATCCATTATCACATATTTTCATACTATAAATGAACCCTGTATCTTTGTGCGTGGAACGGAAAGAATCAGAAAAAAGACTTCAGATAACAGGTGGCAGTTTTCAAGTTATTATGCCTTCACAAAACAAAGAAAACTACTCTATCTATTATGGTAAACAACACAACCAAAGTTGCAGCACTTAATTTCCTACAGATCTATTATGGCCTAGCACTTGATTCCATTCTAACCCTAAGACATTATACAAGACTGTTTCTTTGAGGAAGCCAACCAACAAAGTCCAGCAGTGGCCAAAAGAAACTGGACAAAAAAGGACACCCAAGGACATTTCTTAGTTAAGACAACTATGTATGTCGTTTATGTTGATGCTTAATCTTGTATTTTTAATGAATTACTCCCTCCGTAAAGAAATGTAAGGGCGTTTATAGATCACTAAAGTAGTGATCTAAACGCTCTTATATTTCTTTACAGAGGGAGTACATGACAACATGTGAGCATAGCAATCACCTGGGAGGCCACAGCTGAATGTTCCTTTACTGAATTTCTGCGAACATCTAATGAACGGGCATAATAACTTCTTGCCGATTGCAGGTCCCCGCCATAGTAGCGAAGGTCTCCAACTTTGTTAAGAGAAACTGAGAGCGTATGGACCAACTGTAGAAGAAACCAAAAGCTCAGTCGACAAGGAATTTTACTGTTAAGACTGTATGGCACTAAATTAGAATACGACCTCAAGATCCTTCTTGGGCAATTTCGACAGAAGCTCAGCACTTTCTTCATAGTAAGTGATCGCTGAAGGCGCATCTCCCAAGGTCCGACTGAAAAACAGAGTCCCGTGATGAGGACCAGGGAGAAACCAGTGAGCAATGAGTTTGCTCATCAACTAAATAAGCAAATAAGGTCACCGTGTCTCGCTGTTATAATGTGTAATGAGTAGAATGAAGGAAGTATGAAATAACATTGATTAGCTAAATCTGATGCAGAAAATTTGAAGTGCATTAATAACAGAAATTTTTTCACTAGTGGCATTAAGCATTGCAAAATTACTGATATGTGATGTGTCATTAAAAAGTAAACATATGAGTACATTGTCCAATACTTAAATTAAGAGAAATGAACTTAGCTATGATGAGATTTCCCATATTTCACTTTCCAAGGCTCAGAACATGCAGGTACTAGGATACATGAATAAGACACTAAGGACTGTTTTCAGAATGAGAAGTTGCTAGATCAGTGGCTATACCCACCAGTTGCCAGATTGTAAAATGATATAAGGCAAACTACACTGTCATTCATCTGTCTGTCCAATATAACAGATCCAGTTCAATAAATCATGCCTAAGAGTTGAAACCATACAATAATGGGAAGAACATTTTTAATGAATTACAGAGATTCATTGTGCAAAAGTACTGACTCCAGCAAACAAGTGGACCTCATTTTAATAAAGAGGTTACACAAACAAGAAACCAGGCTGGAATATACAGCTAAACTATCAAGCAAGAATATCCACAGGGAATTATTGCAGATTTGCTGACTTAGGCCCTGTTCGGTAATGGTCCGCTCCGGGAATCTGCGGAGCGGGTAAATGGCAACTCCACCATTTTGACCTACAGCTCCGCCAACTCCGCTCCGGGAGCAGCGGAGCGGAGCGATGCCGAACAGCCCCTTAGACTAGAATGGGTTATGCAGAGCAGACACAAAGTGTTGAACCATTACTTTCTTTATTCTCAGGAGATCCAAGGCACACTACAACCTACCAGCCATTTAGTACAAAAAGTTCTAGCGGCACAGATTTTTTTTACCTAACCCCAGTTTTCTCCTGGCGGTTTATTTCATAGGTTGCCATGGTGAAAACACTAGGAAGGGGAAGTAGTCAAGAAACAAGGTCATACCAGCAATCCCCGAGCATTCCCAACACTGCCCCAAGCTGAGAACACAGGTCTAGGTTATCTTCTGAAGATTTCAACTCCTCCCTGATGTCTTCTGCACACATACTGAGCCTCGACTTTGCACTTTCAATGTTCTGTGCGCGAAAAGCCTGGAGACAAAGAAGTTAGAGGCATCACTATAGCACCAAGGTCATCGATAAATTAGTACATACATACTGGATAACCATGCAATTTTTCACAGGTTAAAGAGCTCAAAATTGGAATTGATTTGATTACTGACCCTCATGGCTTGTTGCACTAGAAAAGCACCTCTCTCCATGGAGACATCCTCGTATATCACTTTGCTCTTGCCATCTGCTGCTTCCTTGCTTTCTCCAGCAAGCGATCTCTTGATTCGGGCATGACCGTCAATGAAGCGATCGACAAGGGCCTGGAGCTCGGTATCCGGCTCGATCCCCTCTATGTCAGCACCGCACAATGGGCAGTCCTTAAAGCGTGATATGCACGCCCTGCCAAGTTTCAACATCCATTCCAGTCAGGACACAAGCAAGCAAGGAAAAATGTCTGATCCAGATGCAAAACCCATGAGAAACGCACGCACTTGCAGAACTTATGTGAGCACGGCATGCATTTGCTGGCGTCGTGGAGCAGGGCCTGGCAGACCATGCAGCTAAGGGGGCCGAGCTTGAAGGTGTTGGAGTCGTAGCCGAAGGGGCACTTTGCGGGCACCACGCGAGGGTCCTCTTCTGCGCCCTCTTCTCCGGCGGCGCGGTCGGCGCCGCTCTCCTTGTTCTCGCTGCCATGACTCTTGCCAGTCACGGGGCACGCAGCGCCGCCGCCGCTCTTGTCGGGCTTCTTGTCGGATTTCATGGGGCACACGCCGCCGGTGGTGGCTTTCGCGAACGGGCAGAGCGAGCTCATGGCGATTGTCTCTTCGCAGGTGGCTCCCTGGCCCTGCACGGCACACATGGAGCGCGAGGCGTGTCAACGGAAAATGATGCGCCGAATTAGGCGAGCGGATGCGGTCTGGTCGAGGCCCGCGGGGAGCCAGCCGCGGAGCGAGGGGAGCCATCGGCACCTACTTCGTTCTAGCTCGCCGGAGTCGCGCTCGCTCGCCCTAATCGACAGGGGCGATTGGGGATCGATTGATTTGAGCAGGGCGAGGTACGCAACGCAAGCAATCGATCCAAGGAAGGGGATGGAATCGAGTGGAAGGGGAGCGGGGGTGCTTACCGTGCGTGGGTGCGTGGGGGCGGGCGGTTGGATCGGCGGCGACGACGGCGACGGAGGCGGAGGCGGCGGGCGAGCCGAGCCGAGCCGAGCCTCTTCTGATGGATGGATAGGAGCAGGGAAATCGAATGGCGGATGTAGGTAGAGGTAGAGGTACAGAGCTCTCTTTTCCCCTGCGCGACCCGCGACAGGACACGACGCACGGAAGAGGAGGAAAGGCGATGGATGGTGGGTGGGTGGATGGGCTGGGTCCACCGATCTGGACCCGAATGAATAACCATGGGCTTCGGCCTCACGCCGTTGCTCCATCTCGCTCTTTTTCCGGTAACATAGTGGAACCGTTCCTTGGACCTTTTTTTCGAATGGCCGAGTCGGTAGATTTTGAAATTGATGAAGTCGCCATAGATATCTCGTAGTCGATGGGGACATGATAGCACTGAGTGGATAGCTCCCGAAAGATTTGTGCCAAGTTTAGAGCCTCCCCCTCCCCCCCCCCCCAAGGCGCGCGGGACCTGATGCTTTTCTTGCACATTTTTATCAATGTGATTAGGACCTTCGTGACAAGAAGGTGAGGATGCAG